AGATATTCATTCATCTTCCCTTCGAAACAAATTAATTTTGGAGACGAAAAAACGGCAGGAATTAAGTTTAACATCTAATATTATTAAATATCACATAATACATCTTGCGTGGTTTTATGCTCTTTTTCTTTGAATAATTTTCAATTATAAACCACTTTCTTATTAATTATATTTATGATTTATGATGTATTACATATTATAAATTATATATTGCGCAAATAAGTATACATATAGTATAACGGAGATAAATATATATTAAAAAATGTCAAAGATAACCCAGACAGCACAGAATATTTATGATAAATATTCATAAACATTATTATTTATTTTTGAATTAAAATCACCTAATTATTTGTCGGAGAGAGAGAGAGAGAGAGAGAGAGAGAGAGAGAGAGAGAAGAGAAGAGAAGAGAAGAGAAGAGAAGAGAAGAGAAGAGAAGAGAAACAGTCATAATTTATTACCAACGAAAAGAATAACTTCTCAAAAAAAATCATAATTTTTTATTTTAATAAATAATTCATTCCTTTATCTTTTACATTTCTTTATACATGGTGAATGTTAATGGATGTCCCAACCTTTTACCATGGGAAGTGAGTTATCGACTATACACCGTTTAGATAATCACAGCTCAGTCGATAACTTACTTCCCATAGTAAAAAATTGGGACATCCATTAACATTCACCCTGTATATGTTCATCTCCGTTATGTTATATGTGTTGTCGGTATTTTAATTGTGGAGAAGGACTTTCCAATCCATAAACACAATTAAGAGAAAAGAATCTTTAAAAATTAGTGGTAAAACAGGACCAAATTGTCGGTATTTTGCAGATTAATTTACATCTTCGAATTTACTCAACGAAATAAAAAATCCTTTTACAGAGTTAAAATAGATGCAAAATTCTGTCGTGGTGCAATAGATTTGTATTAAAATCGGAAAAAAAGTTAAAAACTTACATTTTCTCAACACGTAGAGCTGTCAACTGATGTAGATTACAAAAGTTTTACAGCTCGTATGGACCAAACGATACTGTACCACTCACTGCATAACGTGCATAAACAATACTGAATTTACGGAACTGAGATTGAAAGATTAGGAAAAAATATATACATTAATTTATAAATCACGTAAATTTGCTTGTCAACGAAGACTCGGGCTAATAAACATACCAGGAATTGTGTGTAATAGAAGTTTCTCGATTTTCTGGGAGATGGCGTTGTACTCAGACAGGGCCCCGCTGATCTGAGTGCGTTCGGAAAGAAACAATAGATCTGTTACGATGAACTTTCTGAACTTATTGCACCGTGTGCAACAATTCTGAGAATTTTTCGATAAAGAACAAACTATCATCAGATTTAACAGTACTTGTTCATGTTCTTATCTGATGCTGAACAAACATCAATTACGTTTACACGGCTCGATTTACGCCGAAGTTATAACATCGATGTTATGAAACTGATCAATCATAGCTATTACTTTGAAGAATAGAATGACTGTGATTGACCAGTTTCATGTATCAATGTATAACTTCGACATAATGCTGGATTCACACTGCATCCGATGTGCGTCGTACGACGTTCTGCAAC